GTGTGTCAGATGCCCTCCCGTCCTCCTCCTGTATCTCTGTGTGTCAGATGCCCTCCCGTCCTCCTCCTGTGTCTCTGTGTGTCATGCCCTCCCGTCCTCATGCCCTCCTGTCTGTGTCAGATGCCCTCCCGTCCTCCTCCTGTATCTCTGTGTGTCAGATGCCCTCCCGTCCTCCCCTGTCCTGTGTGTCAGATGCCCTCCTCCTCCTGTATCTCTGTGTGTCAGATGCCCTCTCTGTGTGTCAGCCTCCCGTCCTCCATCCTCCGTCCTCCTCCTGTATCTCTGTGTGTCAGATGCCCTCCCGTCCTCGTGTCTCTGTGTGTCAGATGCCCTCCCGTCCTCCTGTATACCCTGGGGTGGTCCATCAAAACATGGTAAAAAAATAAAGTTTCAAATCACCTCGATTAGAACCCTGCATTAGGTTTTAGCCTCCAAGAGATCATTTAGGAAGACATCTGGAAGAAAAAGGAGACGTTTAAATGGTAAATTGTCACATTTTCTATAATGTTTTTCCACCTTCAAGGCTCAAATTTTTTTACAACAAGGAACCACTCACCCACTCACACACCAGTGTATACATACACTGTGGGCAAGGTGCGTTAAGTGTCTTGCCCAAGGACACAACTGGAATCACATCAGCCAACAGTCCAGTGAGGTTTATGCTGAGAGCAGGATTCGACCCGCCAACCGCCCTAAGAGATTGTTCAACCTGCATGAAGTTTCCTGAAAACTGACAAATTTTGCATTTTCATGTAACTTTCTATGGAATTTCGAGGAACTTTGATTCATGTTTCAGTTGGTGTTTGCGAAAAAAAAAAAAAAAAAAGACAAATTATTCAAATACGCCTTATTTTTATTTTATTTTATTTTATTTATTTTAATTTAATTTAATAAAATTTTTTATTATTTTTATTTTTTTCTGTAGGGCAATTTTCAAGTGTCTTAAGCAACCTCTAAATATTAATTAATTTGCATAAAATTTGGACCCAAATATTTTAGTCAGATATGGAACCAAATGCAGAGTTCTAATCTAGATAATAATAAAAAAATAAAAAAAAAATAAATAAAATAAAATAAAATCTAGTACTAATTTAATCTAGAGAATAGAGAATCTAAAATACAAAATATAAATAATATAAAATAAAAAAAAAGTAAATATTTTAAGAACTTTTTAATAAAAAAGTGTAAAGATGTTTGCCTGATACTTGCTTTATTTATTTATTTATTTATTTATGTATTTATTTATTTTTGTATTCATTAAAAACTAAAAAGTTAGGAAACCATTTATGTCTTTTAGGCAAACATTTACCTCAGTTTGTTTGAATCACTGCTTATTTGTTCGAGTTTACAGTGTATCTTGTGTGATGTCCTCCCGTCCTCCTGTGTCCCTGTGTGTCAGATGCCCTCCCGTCCTCCTGTGTCCCTGTGTGTCAGATGCCCTCCCGTCCTCCTGTGTCCCTGTGTGTCAGATGCCCTCCCGTCCTCTTCGTTTGGGCCTTTATTTTTTCTTCGTTCTAAAACATACTGAGCTGCTTTGTGTTTCTGTGGTTAAGCGCGAGCACCAGAGGAGAGCACAGTTAATGAGGCCCGGCCTGTCTCAGCAGGAGCCCTCAGTGCGTTGCCATGTTGTGTACACAGATTTCAGTCTGCTTTGGGTGTTTCTGTGCAGTGGCGGACGCTCTGGTGCCTGCGGCTTTGTTTGGCTGTGACAGAGCGGCTGTGGAGAGACGCGTTTGAAACCTCCATGTTTGATGTTCCTTCTTTTTCCTCAGGAGCTGAAAATGTGCCGTCCACAGATTCTGCGCTCAAACAAACCACAAATTCAAACTAAACCCCAGTGAGAAGAGCCACTGTTTACTTTATTTATGATGGAGGTCACTGGGACTGGAGACGCCATTTTGAATGATTAAAAACCAGATCATTCTGCCGCTGTATTTATCCAAGCACATCACAACATCTGGGCTTACGTTTCACACACCACAACATCTGCAGATGAACTAGAGACATGTGACCTGCCCCGTCTCAGTCTGACAGTACAGGGACACAGGAGGATGGGAGGGCATCTGACACAATATATTTATCCAACCACACCACGACATCTGCAGATTCATTTAAGGTGCATTTAAGTATCTTTTCTCTATATGTCTCCATGAAGCTTTTATTGTTTTCCAAGAATGTGCCACAGTATGACATTAAACATGTTTATTTCCATGGAGATAAACAGGTGATGCCACTTAGACAAGTTACATATCAGATCTGTGGAGCACTGTTATTTTAAGATACTTTTGAGCAACAGAAACACCAATAACAAGCAGTAACATCAAGGTGGAGAAGTTACATATTATCAACAGTGTTGTGGAGTAACAGATTACATGTACCAGAGTTACGTTATCAAATGATGAGTAACTGTAGTCAGTTACAGTTACTGTTTCAGTGAGTGGTAATTGGATTACAGTTACTTTGTTGAAATAAATGGATTACACAGCGGTATTTTCCTGTTTTCACATTTTGGGCAAAACCAGGACTAAAACCAGGACTAAACCAGAACTAAACCAGGTCTAAACTAGGACTAAACCAGGACTAAACCAGGACTAAATCAGGACTAAACCAGAACTAAAACCAGGACTAAACCAGAAACTAAAACCAGGACTAAACCAGAACTAAAACCAGGACTAAACCAGAACTAAACCAGGTCTAAACTAGGATAAAAACCAGTTCTAAAACCAGGTCTATACCAGGACTAAACCAGAACTAAAATCAGGACTAAAACCAGGTCTAAACCAGGACTAAAACCAGAAATCCAACAAGAATTTTCAGGATGTGGTTGCTACATTCATGTAGTTTTAAAAAAAAACATGACAATATCAAGTAATCCAAAGTATTCAGATTACGTTACTCACTTTACGTAATTTAATGGATTAAGTTACAAACTACATTTTGGGCTATTAATCTGTAATCTGTAGGGGATTACATTTTAAAAGTAACCTTCCCAACACTGAATATAAAGATATATACATCATCATCATCATCATCATCATCATCATCATCATCTTTATTCCAGACTCATGGTCCATTTTAAAAACAGACAAGGACAGTGACAATCCAAAACAATAAACATTTATGTTTTTAAAAGAAAAACACCAGTGTCTCCACATGTTGGACTGATCCCTTATTGCACTGAATCTCAGATTTGTGAGTGACATTTTTATTTCATTGTCTGATTTGTTCAATCTGCAGATAAAACTGTACATTATAATTCTTAGTGCAGCTTGCCAAGTGTTCACTCCTGCAGTAACAAACGTTTCAGTCGCACTCGTTCCATCGTGGCTCCTCAAAAGCAACGTAAAGCGTCATTGTAGGCACCTGCAGTCTTTGCAAACTGGCTTTTTTAATAATTAGTCCAGAGGTGAGTTGTGTATAACAACTTTACATCCTTTATACAAGAACCAAACTTACACATAAGAGTATTTGCCTTAACACAGAGCGTCCTACACTGTCTGTACATGTCATCATCATCTGTCATATGCCCCAGATATTTAATTTTTGTGAACAGACAACACAACATATGAATATTTATGAATGAGTGTATTTATGGATTTTAGGACAATGGCCGTGTTCACAGGCACAAACACACCTGATGTCTGGAGCTTTCAGTGATTTAAATCAAATACAGATTCAACATTTGTTTACGTTTAAGAGAAATTAAACTTAAAACCACATGACTCATTTGCATAAACTATAAGAGCTAAAATAAACAACGGCTTTTTCCTTGTGCGCTGATGTGGTTCAGCTTTTGTTGGACTAAAGGACACGACTCAGTGGAATATGAGTGTTGATGATGATGATGATGGTGATGATGATGATGATGATGTGATGATGATGATGATGATGATGATGATGATGATGATGATGATGATGATGATGATGTGTGTCTGTGTGTGTGTCGTGTTGGAGATGGTTCATATTTTCAGAGATCAGACGTGTGCAGGTTTAGTGCAGATCTTTATTTAAAATTGTTTCACTTTGTTTATTTTTGGCTGCTGTAGTAAAGAAAAGACTGAAAAGTGTTTGTCTTTTAGACCCGTGTGACTCAACTTTATGTTGCAGTAACCGTGATACTGCGTTTACAGCAGCATGACCAAACTGCAATACTGAAAAAACCCGATCATCCCCGGGACTCTGATGTGCAGTAAACACACTCATAGAGGGATATAGTGTCTCCAAGGAGCCAGAGCCCAAACATGGGACTGTGAGACCACAGCCCCAGTGTTTATGTCAGACTCAGTCTAGTCTCCTTACTCTATGCTACACACAGCAACCTATTCACCATTCACACCAGTCAGGTTGTCAATTAAAAATGAACTTGATCGACATAATTCTTAATGATTATCTTGATGATTATCAATTAGTCAACTAATCATCTCCATCCCTAATTTAAACAGACTCCTAATTTCAAAAATATGTTTTCAGCTTGTCCAAGAAAGAGCAGAAGTAAAAGGCTTGGAGAGCAACTACAAGTCTTAAGCAGGAGAAGTTTATTTGCCATTAATAATCCGGCCCAGGGGGAGTGGAAAAGTCAACATAGTGTGATTTCAAAAGTGAACATAGTGTGATCTTTGAGTGTTCAAGCCCCTTGACTCTGCTTCCAAAGGGGGAGGTTTATAAAGCAAGTGTGGAGAGACATGAAGGTCAGTAAGCACCAGTTACACAATATGCCACAATTTAGAGGTGGATGTGGTGCCAGTGGTTTGCCAAGGGAAGAAGATGGAGGATACATTACTTAAATTGTCTTACAAGAATTATATTTGAATGTTCATGTAACTGTGGCACTATTTTACAGATGGACTCAGACTAATAACAATGTGGATTTATTCACAGAAACACTGCACGAGATGTAGCAGCTGTTTATGTCTCAAATGGATGATCCCGAGAGCAGAATGAGCTCTGGTTTTAGGATGCCAAATCAGCTTGTGTGTCTAAACCATCTGTGTCTCCTGCAGGACTTCCCCCTCCTGCGTCTGGACGGTGTAGTGGACGATCAGTCAAACATCGTGGGCTTCTCCATGTTGAACACCAGTCACGCCCTTCACTCCGACTTCCTGCGCAGCCTGAACCTGTCCTGGAGAGAGGCCTGTGTGCTGGGACAGTACCCCGGGCCCTCGGTGAGGACACAAGGGAACAAGGGAACAGCTCCTCTTAGATTTACTTCAGCAGAGACTCAAATCAACCAACTGATTCTCAACAAGCTATATGGAATAAAAAAAAAAATAAAAAAAAAAACATTAGACTAAAGGACTAAAACAGGACTAATCCAGGGCTAAACCACAACTGAACCAATACAAAACCAGGGCTAGACCAGGACTGAAACGGGACTAAACCAGGGCTAAACCAAGACTGAATCAGGTCTAAACCAGGACTAACCCAGGGCTAAGCCACGACTGAACCAAGACAAAACCAGGGCTAGACCAGGACTGAAACTGGACTAAACCAGGACTAAACTAGAACTAAACCAGAACTAAACCAGGACTAAACTAGAACTAAACCAGAACTAAACCAGGACTAAACCAGCACTGAATCAGGAATAAACCAGGACTTACCTAGAATTAAACCAGGACTAAACAGGACTAAACCAGGTCTATACCAGGACTGAACAGACAGAGAACAAGAGGAGGCAGATAAGTGTAAATGTTTCAGCACCATGGACAGCTCTAAAATCATATCTGGGTGTTCGAGTTACAACCGTTGCCATAGCAACTAACAATTTAATAGTAAATATTCTCACCACATTCATAATACTTCTACTGGACTCACACACACACACACACACACCACTGTCATCACAACAGTCCTCAAAATGGCGCCCGTGAACAGGATGTTGTTGTGTTGTTGTGGAGTTTGGAGCAGCTCTTATGGACTTTGCAGCTTTATAAGTTCACACAGTTTCAGGACCACGGACAGTTGTTCAGGGAGAACCGTCTTCACAGTGGTGTTCAGTGTTGGTCGGTGCGTCTCCTCTCAGGTGGAGCTTCTGCTTGATTCATGTTCATGCAGATGTGAAGTGCCCACAGAGCATCAGTCTGCCATTATCGTGTGCGGACAGCTGCACCCGAACGCCTCGTCTGCTGAGTGATGAGCGCCGATAGAGACGAGACGCACGTGAACGCAACACAAGCAACTCTGTGTGATTCTCTATCCTCCAATCACAAGGAAGGAGAGATCCACCGATACAGACCCAACACGGACTAGACCAGGACTAAAGAAGGACTAAACCAATTCTAAACCAGGACTAAACCAGGACTAGACCAGGACTAAACCAGGACTAAACCAGGTCTGAACCAGGACTAAACCAGGATTAAACTAGGACTAAACTAGAACTAAACCAGGAGTAGACCAGGACAAGACCAGAACTAGACCAGGACTAAACTAGGACTAAGCATGGACTAAACCAGGACTAAACCAGGATTAAACCAGGACTAAACCAGGATTAAACCAGGACTAAACCAGGACTAAACCAGGATTAAACCTGGACTAAACCAGGACTAGACCAGTACTAAACCAGGATTAAACCAGGATTAAACCAGGACTAAACCAGGACTAAACCAGGACTGAACCAGGACTAGACCAGGATTAAACCAGGACTAAACCAGGACTAAAACAGGATTAATTCAGGACTAAACCAGGACTAAACCCAGACTAAACCAGGATTAAACCAGGACTAAACCAGGACTAACCACCAGGACTGAACCAGGACTAAACCAGGATTAAACCAGGACTAAAACAGGATTAATTCAGGACTAAACCAGGACTAAACCCAGACTAAACCAGGATCAAACCAGGATTAAACCAGGACAAAACCAGGAGTAAACAGGACTAAACCAAGACTAAACCAGGACTAAACCCGGACTAAACCAGGACTAGACTAGGATTAAACCAGGACTAAACCAGGATTAAAGCAGGACAAAAACAGGACTAAACCCAGACTAAACCAGGACTAGACCAGGACTAGACCAGGATTAAACCAGGACTAGACCAGGACTAAACCAAGACTAAACCAGGACTAAATCCGGACTAAACCAGGACTAAACCAGGTTTAAACCAGGACTGAACAGACAGAGAACAAGAGGAGGCAGATAAGTGTAAATGTTTCAGCACCATGGACAGCTCTAAAATCATATCTGTGAGGTTCAGTTGAAACCGTTGCCATAGCAACTAACAATTTAATATTAAATATTCTCACCACATCCATAACACTTCTACTGGACTCACACACACACACACACACACACACACACACACACACACACACACACACACACACACTGCAGCACCAACTGAACCACTGTCATCACAAAAGTCCTCAAAATGGCGCCCGTGAACAGGAAGTTGTTGTTGAGTTTGGAGCAGCTCTCATGGACTTTGTAGCACAAGTTCACACGGTTTCAGAACCACGGACAGTTCCTCAATGAGAAACGTCTCATAATGCAGCTCTACTGCAGAAGTGCATACTGGGGTTTTGCCTTTGAGCAAGACACTTTCACTGGCATAGTCTGGCAGTGTCATTCTTCCCCTCTGCTCTCTCTCTCTTCTTTGCTCATGGTCTGCAGCCCTGGTGTGGTCGTCTCTCTCTCTCTCTCTGTCTGTCTCTCTTTCTCTATCTCTGTCTCTCTCCCCCACACTGATCTCTCTCTCTTTCTCTCTTTCTTATATAGATCCACCGTTCTCATCCCTCTCTCCCTCTCTCTCTCTTACGTACATCTCGTCAGCGCTCATGTTTGACGAGGTGCTCTTGGTGATCTCTTTTTCTCTCTCCTCCACACTGATCTCTCTCTTTCTTTCTCTTACATAGTTCTCAACTACTCTCATATTTGCATGTGGTGGTCTCTCCTCTCTCTTCCTCTCTCTCGTGTTTGACTCAGTTCGCATGATCGTCTCTCTCTCCTGTTTCTCTCTCTTTCGTTTTTCCACACTCATCCCTCTCTTCCTCCATCTCTCTCAGGCGTGGATCTCATCAGTGCTGATGTTTGACTCGGTGCACTTGGTTCTCTCTCTCTGCACATGGCGGTGTCTCTCTTCTCTCTATCTGTCTCTCTCTCTTTCCTCCACACTCATCCGTTCCTCTCTTCCCTCTGTATGTCTCTTACGTAGATCTTGTCAGCTCTCATGTTTGATAAGTTGCATACGGTGGTTTCTCTCTCTTTCTCTCTCCATCTCTCTCTTACATAGAGCTTGTCAGCGCTCATATTTGACGTGGTGCATGTGGTGATCTCTCTCTCTTTCCCCCACATTGATCCCTCTCTCCCTCTGTCTTTTATGTATATCTCGTCAGTGCTCATGTTTGACTCTGTGCACGTGGTGGTCTCTCTCTCGCTCTCTTTCCTCCACACTCATCCTTCTCCTCTCTCTCTAACAAAGATCTCGTCCGCTCTCGTGTTTGAGCACTTGGCTCTTTCTCTCTCTCTCTCTTTCTTCTCCACACAGATCTCTCTGTTTTACATAGATCTTGTCAGCGCTCATATTTGATATGTTGCATGTGGTGGTTTCTCTCTCTTTCTCCTTCTGTATCCCTCGTACGTAGATCTCATCAGCGCTCATGTTTAATGCCGGTGCATGTGGTGGTCTCTCTCCCTTTCCTCCACACTCATCCCTCTCTCCTCTCTCCCTCCATCTCTCTCTCATGTAGATCTCATCCGTGCTCATATTTGACACAGTGCACGTGGTGGACTCTCTCTTCTCTCTCTCTTTCCTCCACACTCATCCCTCTCTCTCCGTCTCTCCCTCACGTAGATCTCGTCGGCTCTCATGTTTGACGCGGTGCACGTGGTGGTGAGCGCCGTGCGGGAGTTGAACCGGAGTCAGGAGATCGGAGTGAAGCCGCTCAGCTGCAGCTCTCCTCTGATCTGGCAACACGGGACCAGCCTCATGAACTACCTGCGCATGGTAACACACATTTATATACGTTTATTTAACTCTGCACACTGCACATCTGCACCTCGCACCTCACACGGTTTAGTGTTAGGAAAATGTTTTGCGGTACTTTACACGTGGCAGAAATGACTTTGACAAACAAATGTCTACAGTCTTTGTGCAACTTACACCACAAAATAAAACATAAAACTGTCAACAATACCACATTTTAGGCCTGTTTATTGCTAACATTTTTAACACATTACCGTGGCAACCGGATGTGATCACTTCCCTCTAGACCTGACAAAACTTGACCTAAACTCTTCTAACTAGGGATGTCCCGATCACATTTTTTTGCCCCCAAGTCTGAGTCATTTTGAGTATCCGATACCGAGTCCTGATCCGATACTTCTATAAAAAATTTGAAATGAACTAAGAGCAAAGAATAAGACCCAGGATGTGTGCCGGATCAGATTGTGTTGATTTCATGTGTAGTATTTGGGCTGAACTTGTGAAAAATCAAATGTCCAAAACTTTAATTTTATTCACTTTTCTAACCATGAACCATCATTGTTGAAAATCTTTACTCCACAGTCTGGTCTTGGAATGTCTAACTTAGTAAACTTAATGAACTGGACACAACAGGAACCAGACCAGAATCAGATCAGACCTGAGACTCTGCACAATCTACACTTTGTATATTTGATATTATATGGAAGTCTGTGCATTATATCTCAAACATTTAGGCTCGTCTATGAAATCCAAATAATAAAAAATCTTACCAAATAAAAACAAGATGACAGAAGCCCCACAGCCTCTGTCCCCCGCACCACCACCACATCCACAAACCCACAGCGGCGCACACCACAACATCGGTCCCATCGCTCAATAGACACTTCATGCCGCTTTTCCCACCCTCCCCACCAAAAGCGCTAACTCTATTGAGCAACATGCAAACAAACAGCACCGTGCAACGACGCCACCGGCCGCGCAGGTGTGAACACAGGCCACAGAAGCACAGGTAACAGCGCCTGAACACGGCATGGGATTTTTGGGCCGTGTCGTGCTCAAGCACTGTTACCTAACTGGACGTCCCTGAGCAAATCCCGTGCCTCAGTAAAAACAAACAAACAAACAAAAAACTGTGTCCTGTGTGTTATATTCAGTGTTGGGAAGGTGACTTTTAAAATGTATTCCCCTACAGATTACAGATTACACTCACCCCAAAATGTAGTTCGTAACGTAATCCATTAAATTACTTAAAGTGAGTAACGTAAACTTTGGATTACTTTTACTGTCATGTTTTTTTTAAAACAACATGAATGTAGCAACCACATCCTGAAAATTCTTGTTTGTTCTCTTCAAATTGACTGTTGAGCCCAAGTCTCCATGAACAGACAACTGTTTGCTGTAGAGGAGTAAAGACCAGGAAATCTGAACATGAAATATTTTGTTTTATCTGCTAAAAGAAAATAAAAAGCCCAGTCTTTACTTAAAGGTTGTATGGAGGATTTTTTTTTTAGTTTCAAATTGTCAATGAAAGTTTAAAATACCATTACAGAGACACAGCAGCCTTGTAATTATGATGACCAAAAAATGAAAATCTATCAACTGTGGATGTAGTGAGGCCAGATAAACATCAGCCAATAAATACTCAGGCTCTCTTATTTTCTATTGGCTGTTAGGTTGTCAATCAAACTCCCTAGTGTAACTGACTTGCCAGCGTGCAGGAATGACGTGGTTTATGCAGCGGTTGTTAGAGGCTTTTTCAAACTGTAGCTTCCTCGCATTTCGCACAAAGTTTGTCGCGATGGCGGACGAGAATCCACGACCAGTTCACCGCAAAAGAAAGTCGGTTTATGAGGTCGCTGAAAGATGAAGAGAAGGGGAAAAGGAGCAAAGCCAAACTGAGGTGATTCTTGGAGATTCCTTCCAGCAGTTGCGCGAGTGAAGCAGACGAAGGATCTAAAAACTGATGCATCGGTCGCTAAATTACTTCTAGACACTTCAACAGTAATTCTGGCTGTAAACAAGCGTGATTTCTAGAGTAAAGAAGCGGGAGGAGATGTTTCTACTGAGGCTGTGGAGGATTAAGGTGGTGTCCCACATGCACATCCACTGTCGCTTACTTTTCTTCCCTTAAAAATCCTCTGTACCCTGCATATATAAAATATTATTGTAGAGAAATTATTTCTGTATGAAATCACTGCTGCCTTAAATTATGTTCACCTACTGTTAGTGTCATATTGTCTAACCAGGTTTAGTCCTGCTTTTAGACCTGGTTCAGTCCTGGTTTAGTCCTGTTTTAGTCCTGGGTTTAGTCCTGCTTTAGTCCTGCTTTAGTCCTGTTTTAGTCCTGGTTTAGTCCTGGTTTAGTCCTGGTTTAGTCCTGTTTTAGTCCTGGTTTAGTCCTGGTTTAGTCCTGCTTTAGTCCTGGTTTAGTCCTGGTTTAGTCCTGGGTTTAGTCCTGGTTTAGCCCAAAATGTGAAAACAGGAAAATACTGCCGTGTAATCCATTTATTTCAACAAAGTAACTGTAATCCAATTACCACTCACTGAAACAGTAATCCCAGTACATGTAATCTGTTACTCCCCAACACTGGTTATATACGTATATTATTTATCCGATACCTGATCATGGATCTGGACAACTCTACTTCTAACTGTCTCTGATTACCAAAGTATTTCCATGGATGTGGGTTCGCTGGGAGCAGTTTTCACGGCTTTGCTCCGACTCAACAGAGAAATGGAAACACAACCAGGCCGAGTGGGACCGAGTCGAGCCAAGAGGAGCCAGAGGACACAGAGCTAAAGCCTCTGCGTTTGTCAGGGACAGACCTCCTCCTCAACTTTCAACTTATTGTAGGAAAAGAAAATCATTGCACCTCCGTTTATTTGTCCCGGCAGAGAAGAGGTTGAACTTTGTGCCGGTTTTCGTTTCCTGTGGACGGGCCCGATAATGACAGAGATCTGAACCATAAAGCGGGTCACACATCTGCATAATGTTTAGAACCGATTCAAGACGAGAAGTCAGAGCTGTCCTCCAGCGCTTGGAAATGTCATCACCTCATATGAACACTCCCTCTCCTCCTATCTCTCTCTCTCTCTCTACCCCCCCTCTCTTTCTCTCTTTCTATCTCTGCTCCTCTCGTTCCTTCTCTTACTCTCTGCTCTCTCTCTCTCTCTCCCCTCTCTCATGTTTTCTGCCATTCTCTCTCTCTCTCTCTCTCCCTCCCCGATCCCCCTCCCTCTGTTTCTTTCATTCCTTTTCTTACTCTGTGCTCTCTCTTTCTCCCCCTCTCCTTCTGTACTCTTTCCCTCCCTTCGTTCCTCCCTCCCTCCCTCCATCTCTCTCTCCTTCTCTCCCCCCTGCTTTCGCTCTCTCACTCTATCTCCCTCCTCTCATTCTGTCCCCTGTCTCCCTTCCTTCCTATCTCTCCCTCCCTCTTATCTCTCTCCTTCTCCTGTCCCTTTCTCCTTCTCACCCTCTCTCCCTCTGCTTCTCTCTTTCCTTTTCTTACTCTCTTCTCTCCTCTTTCTCTCTCTTTCCCTCTTTCTCTCTCTTCCCCTCTTTCTCCTTCACCATATCTCTCTCTCCCTCTGTTCCTCTCGTTACTTCTCTTACTCTCTGCTCTCTCTCTCCCCCTCTCATTTATCCCCTCTCTTGCTTTCTCTCCCTCCCTTTCCCTCCCTCTCTCTTTACCTCCCCCCCTTATCTCTCTCCTTCTCTCCTCTCTCTCTCTCCCCTCCCTTACTTTCTCTCTTTCCTTCTCTTTCTCTCTGCTCTCTCTCTCTTTGTTTCCCACTCTCCCTCTCCCTCCTTCTCCATCTCTCTCTCCTTCCCTCTGCTTCTCTCTTTCCTTCTCTTGCTCTCTCCCTCCCTCTTTCCCTCCCTCTGTTCCACTTGTTCCTTCTCTTACTCTGTGCTCTCTCTCTATCTCCCTCTCTCATTCTGTCCCCCCTCCCTCCCTTTCTCCCTCCATCTCTCTCTCTGCTTCTTCCTTTCCTTCTCTTACTCTCTACTTTCGCTTTCTCTCTCTCTCTATCTGCCTCCTCTCATTCTGTTCCCTCTCTTCCTCCCTTCCTTTCTCTCCCTCCCTCTTATCTCTCTCCTGCTCTCCTCTTTCTCTCTGTCTCCTTTCTCCTTCTCACCCTCTCTCTCTCCCTCCCTCTGCTTCTCTCTTTCCTTTGCTGACTCTCTTCTCTCCTCTTTCTCTCTCTTCCTCTTTCTCACTCTCTCTCTCTCCCTCCTTTGCCCTTTCTCTCTCCCTCTGTTTCTCTTGTTAATTCTCTTACTCTCTGCTCTCTCCCCCTCTCATTCAATCCCCTCTCTCGCTTTCTCTCCCTCTCTCTTTTCCTCTCTCCCTCCTTATCTCTCTCTTCTCTCTCACCCTCTCTCTCACTCACTCCATCACTCTGCTTCTCTCTTTCCTTCTCTTCCTCTCTTCCTCCTTCTCCATCTCTCTCTCTCTCCTTCCCTCTGCTTCTCTTTTTTCTTCTCTTGCTCTCTGTTCTCTCTGTTCCCTCTCTCTCTCCTCCTCTGTCATCCGTCTCCCGCTGCTTCACTCCGCAGCGTTTAGTCCGTTTTAATTACACGTGTTTCCTGTTCCTCGGCTCAAAACAAACATAAATCAGACTAAGCACTTCCTGGTCTCACCGGGCGGTTACCATGGAGACGAGCAGCTCCAAACTCCCCGTTCAGAGAGAGACTTTAACACTAAAACACTCCTCATCTGACCCTCTGCTCCTCTGACCCTCTCCTCTTCTCCTCCTCTGACCCTCTCCTCTACTCCTCTGACCCTCTCCTCTGTTCCTCTGACCCTCTCCTCTGTTCCTCTGACCCTCTCCTCTGTTTCTCTCTTCCAGGTGGAGTATGATGGTCTGACTGGACACATTGAGTTTAACAGTAAAGGTCAGAGGACAAACTACACGCTGAAGATCCTGGAGAAGCACCGCGGGGGTCACCGAGAGGTCAGAGGTCACACTGGGTCATGATGTAAACACAGGAGTAAATCAGGAGCTGTGCACATGAGCGCTGTGTGAGGAGCAGAGCTGATTAGAAGCATTCATCAGGAGCAGAAGCAGCTGTGAGCTCTGCTCCCACAATACACCTCATTTAGTCTGTTTTAAACACAAGGACCTGACTGCTCCTTCTGGACCTCATATCTCACGTTATTGACCCTGCGGTGTCTGACCTGCTTTGAGTCGTAGTCCTCTTATTCTTGCAATAAAAGACTTTAACTGGAGTTGGTTCAATTAACGATTATAATTAGTGGACCCATATTGACTTTGGTAATAGTAAATGGTAATGTTGTAGTCAAGACCAGGACAAGACCACAGGGCCCTGAGACCAGGACAAGACCAAGACCTCTGAGGGTCGAGACCAAGACAAGACCGAGATCATGGCCCATTGAGACCAAATCAAGACCATCTTTGTCATTTTTGACATTTGTTTTCTATTTGACAGTTATTTATATCATATCATATATAGCACATATATATCGATGTTTTTATAAATCTATCTCTTTTTTATCCGATTCATCTTCATTTAGCCATAAAATAGGCCAATCAAACTGTACAGCACTGACACTTTTTTGGACCCTCACCCACAGTTTGAGGGTCCTCCTTCTTTAAGAGAACTTTCAGTGGCACTTTACACAAAACTGTGAAGAAAGTGTGTGGATTTTTAAACCAGTTTTTTTTCAAGTTCCTAACTGGAGTTACATTCTCTTTCATTGCACTTTTATTAGGCAAACTTCAACCACATGTTGCAGTTTATTGCCGACACCAGCGGCCGTAATGAAATATGATCACACTCGACGAGTGTCAGACCTCGGATTTGAGACAAGAGCGAGTCCAAGCACCTTCAAGACCGAGACAAGACCGAGTCCAAATGTGGTCGAGTAAAAAGATTGTAAAAAAAAAAAAAAAAAAGGTCTCGAGGCTGGTGTCGAGACCAAGACCTGTCTCCAGTACTACGACACCAGTCAATGGTCATATTTTTATAGAGCTTTTCCACCTTCAAGGAGGGTTAAATGTCTTGCCTAAGGACACAATGACAGCACTCATCTGTGGGAGCTAGAATTGCACCACCAACCTCTGGGATTCAAACTGCCAACCTTCAGATCTGTGCACAAACTCTCTACTCACTGGCCGTGTTTACATGATGTTGTTTTTAACTCCAAATGAATTGTTCTAAATTAAATAGTTTGGAATTAAAATATTCTCCTTCAAGTTTACATGAACGACCTCAATTATTTTTAACAAGAGTAAATGTTACATGATCGAGTGAAGAAATGAATTTGGATTTAAAGTTGGAATAAATCACCAACTTACTTCAGAATTAAGGTTAATTCTGAATAATCATTTTCATTAGGAATTAAGTGTTTACATGGTCTTTCAAAAGCAAAATAAAATTTTATCCAGAATTAAATTATTTTTATTTGGAATTAAATCATGTAAATGCCGCATCTGAGCTATTGTCACACTAACGCTAAAATGACCTTGGTGAAACAAGACGCCTGATTGGTCTGTTATTAATCTTCATATTTTAGTTTAGGGACAAAATAGTGAAATAAAAACTCCAGGATCATGTAGAGTTTGTTAATAAAAACATGCAGCAGTTACAGAGAGGTGGGGGGGAAGGTTTTTCAATAGAGAGTGAATTGGAGGTGAGTCGATGGAGCCAAATTGTGCCAAATTGTGCTAAACCAGGACTAAAACAGGACCAAACCAGGACTGAACCAGGACTAAAACAGGACTAAACCAGGACTAAAACAGGACCAAACCAGGACTGAACCAGGACTAAACCAGGACCAAACCAGGACTAAACTGGTTTGGGATCTGGGATTGAAATGTACTACCCGATCAACTTTGCACTTAAGAGAACACTTACTTAAAAAAAAAAAAAAAAAAAAAGAAGAAAGAATAAAAATCAAAGTTGAAGTGACCCCAGCCCGTGGACGCTGCGGTGGCTCAGCGAGAGGTCGGTGTCAGCCGACCGGAAGCCGCGTGTCACCACTTTGTCAATAAAATCAATGCTAACTGATGCCCCGCTGTTTTACGAGCACATCAGAAGGTCAAAGGTCACCTCAGGGTGCTGTGAGGGTCAAACTGATCCACTGAGGAAGTTCAATCTGATCTGAAGAGAGAGGTTAACCACTCTGCCGCAGTAACCCGCTCCACGCAGAGACGCAGAGAGACGAGGAGTCCAGCCCTCAGCCTCCGTCCTGAGAGGAGGACACAGGATAAACGCTCTTTGAAAATAATCTTGGATCTGATTTTGTAAAGTCTCGGGTCATCAGAGGCGAAGCGTTGGCAGAATTTAATTAAGATAAGCCAGGCGTTGCTATGGAAACATGTTTAGTGTTTAAATGAGCATTCAGATGAAAAGACAACATGAATCTCTCCATCACGGCACAGATGGAACTAATGTTGCTCTTTGTTTACAAGTTATTGCGTTTGTACGAGTAACAAATCAAAGTCAGATTGAAATACACATAACATGGAGTCAGTGTTTTGATGTTTACTCCAATTCAAATGTTAAATAATACTAAAACAACTTTCTGTGTGTGTGTTTGTGTGTACATGTGATTTTATTTTACTAGACAGAACAATGACAACTAAGACTACGTTCACACTGCAGCCTGAAGTGACCCAAATCTAATTTTTGGGCCTCTATGTTCCTGTATCTGATGTTTTAATGACAGTCTGAACCACACAGATCAGATTTTTTCAAATGTGACCCAGTACACTTGGATATGTGCTCCTAAAACCGATACATATCTGATCTTTTGACATGCGACTTCATTCTGAACGGCCAAAGTGCATTCATCCACCTACACATTATCAACAAGTGACAAATATACACAAACGTTCTTCTCATCATACAAAAATTGACAATGAACTCTGTGTCACTGAAGTGAAGCACATCACCTCTCACCACTCTTGGCTCCGTCTCCACATCCACACGTTCCTTTCAACGGACGTCGCTGCTACTGTCCCACAAAACACCACGACCAAAAACCTCAATCTCCTCCTTAAAACAAGTAAGTTCATGTTGTGGCTCCGGTACGAGAGGAACTTTAAAATCTCCAGGTGCTCGATGCTGCGTCCATGTTTGGACAACTTCTGTAAACACAGAGCACGCTCACTGTGGTTGACGTCGTCGTGTCTCCAGTGCACATGCGGGACACTTTTGGGTCGTTTAACGTTCACACTGGATATACAAGTCACATTTAATTGGAAATGTGAACGACCTCGAAGAAACATTGAATTTCACAAAAAAATTATAGTAATATAAAAAAAATATATATAAAAATCTTATTTGAGCATTAAGCCCTGCAATCTGAAGTGTCCCAAATCTATTTTTTTCTCCAATGCTCCTGTATCTGATCCTATAATGACACTCTGAACCACACAGATCCCCCTCCAAATGTGACTCAAGCCACTTGGATATGACATGCGACTTCAGTCTGAACGGCCAGGTCACATTCATCCCACCTACACATCACAACACGGTAACAAGCACCTGTGTGAGTCAGTACAACCCAACACCCTGTGACATGTTTACTCACTTCAATAGGCCACCGAAGAAGCGTTTCCTCCTGTGAGAGTGGTATAAGTTCATTCTCACAAATGTACACAAATCTTCTTCTCGTCATACAGAAATTGTGTATGAACTCACACACACACGTTCCTTTCTACGGAGGTTGCTGCCACTGGTCTACAAAATGCCAAAAACCTCGACCTTCTCCTTCTCAATCTCCTCCTTAAAACAAATAAACTGTACATGTTCTGGCTTCGGTACAACAGCAACTTTAAAATCTCCAGGTCGATGTTTAGGCGACTTCCGTAAACACAGAGCACGCTCGCTGTGTGTGACATCGTTGTGTTCTCCAATACTCACGCAGGACACTTTTTGGCTGTTTAAACTTCACACTGGAGATCACGCACAAGTCACATTTAACTGAAAATACGAACAAACTTACAAAAAAAAAAAAAATAAATATTATTATTATTATTTAATTTCACAAGAAAAAAATCCAAACTGAGCATTAAGGCCTGCAGACTGAATGTAGTGTTGGTCTTCTTTACGGTGAAGACCTCACTAGTTCTGATATCAGTCTTTGCACTGCAGGGTTCACGCCTCCACACACTTCTTCAACATGTTCTGAGCATGTGGGTCACTGGAGAATAAGCCCTGAGTTCAGATGTGCATGATTGACAGGTGGATTAGCCAATCAGGGACATGCATGGTCTGTACAATGGTCCTTATTTATGAACTTTTAAAATCATATGGTCTGACCTTCCCAAAATGCTCCAGTTGAGGAAAAAAAAAATGTCTTTAAAGTTTTATGAAAATATTTTCATATTTATACTTAGTTTAAACAAGCTGAAATTTCTGTAACTGATGCAGTTTCAGCACTATTCATCCTGATCATCATTTACTCCTGTAGATCACACTATGACAACCTATGACAACGAGGCTCATGTTAGTCTATCCATAGAATAACTGCTATCCAAACTAACATTCAAAAGGCTGCGGTGAATAACTAAGAAGATGATGGTCGTGCAGAGATGACACTGACACGAGCCTGAGAGGGAGTACAGTGTACATGTACCACTGGTGGCCCCAGCAGCTGGTTCCACCAATTAAGATTTCAAGAGTCTTCTCTCAGACAAACACTTCACAGAGTTTTATAAAGAAAGGAACAAAAAAAAAAAAAAAAAAACTCACAGGGCCTGAAAAACACGGTGGATGGATCTGATTGGACGATCATGACTATTATCTTTCAGTTTTTTTACACAGAGCGTCTCAGTCTGGATTGCCAGGAAAAGAGAGTACACCAGTTGCTCTGATAGTGTTGTTAGGGTTATTGTGGCAGAGTGTTTTTTTTCAGTCAGGGCTTTGTGGGGTTTTGTTGTAGTTTATGTGATTGAAATAATCAAAAGAGCAGAGGAGCAGAGGGAGACATAACGCTCATGTTCTGAGCTGCTCACACAGAGGAACTCATGTCCATGTGGCTTTTCAGTGTCTTTCCAAGTGAAGTTGTGCATGTCATTTACTCTTTTGTGAGTTGTGTTCCACATGTTCTGAACCCTGTTCTAAGAGAGATCTTCTGTTCTGCCACAGATCGGGACGTGGTTCTCCAACAACACTCTGGCCATGAACTCCACGTCTCTGGAGCTCAACGCCTCCGAGTCTCTGGCCAACAAGACGCTCATCGTCACCACCATCCTCGTAAGAGCTAATACAGGCTAATACAGGCTAATGCAGACTAATACAGGCTAATATAAGGTAATAGCAAGACCCTCATGGTCACTCTGATTTGAGTCAGAGGTGAATTTGACAAAATTTGCTCTGCACATGCCCACAGCTTCTACACACTCATCATTTATTATTTACTACGGCAACAAATGCACAGACAAACTGTAACATGCATCAGTGAGTTTTATTGTGTAAATATTTATCTGAAGTGAACTGTGAGCCCAGTGTAACTGAGGACTTTGACTTTGCTCTGTAGGAAGCCCTGCTGCAGAGGTTAATGGAGTAGAATATAGCCCATTATTGTAACGACAGTTGGAAGTCAAAAGACTTGTATTGATTTATGAACATTCAATAACGAATCAAACTGTCTTTAACAATTAAAAAAGCCAAGAGTTTAGAAGGACAAAGTAGACAGGAGCAGATGAGAAACATCTCTGAGCACTCAGTACCAGCTCATATATTTTTGTTCATATAATGAGCTCATCTTCAGTCTGCTGCTCTCCGTGCATTCACAGGAGAGTCCGTACGTGATGAGGAAGTCCCGGTACCAGGAGTTCTCAGGGAATGATCAGTACGAGGGCTTCTGTGTGGACATGCTCCGAGAACTGGCCCAGATCCTGCGCTTCTCCTTCAGGATCAAACTGGTGGACGACGGTCTGTATGGAGCTCCGGAGCCCAACGGCAGCTGGACAGGCATGGTGGGAGAGCTCATCAACAGGGTGAGGACTAAACCAGGACTCAACCGGGTCTAGATCATGACTGAACCAGGACTAAAGTGGGTCTCAATCAGGAATAAACCAGGACTAAACAAGGACCAGGACTTGACCAGAGCAAAAAATAACTGGACAAGGACTAAACCACAATTAGAGGGTTAGTCACAATAACCCACAAGGGTGATTCACCCGTATGGGTGATGACATTTCTTGGCCCGTGGAGGCCCGTGGAGGCCCGTGGAGGCCCGTGGAGGCCCGTGGAGGCCAGTGGAGGCCAGTGGAGGCCAGTGGAGGCCCGTGGAGCCCGTGGAGGCCCGTGGGGGCCAGTGGAGGCCCGTGGGGGCCCGTGGAGGCCCATGGAGGCCAGTGGAGGCCAGTGGAGGCCCGTGGGGGCCCGTGAGACTCGTAAGGGTCCCTGGGAGAAATTTCTGCAAAGTGGGGCATGCGAGTGTTGTGCGGGTCTTAAGACTGTCGTGAGGCAATAGTTCGCCATACTTAAGTGCCACTCAAAGGTCACGTAAGAGTCAAAATCTGGTACAGGCCACTTGCAACGCACTCTAGTCGTTTGTAGGGGGCAAGTACAAGCCTCTTACGCAGCCCGTGCGACAGTCTTACGAGATGTGGCTCTTATCACTGTGCTATATAATCCTGGGCTCATCATCACCACTTCATCACATCATACTCATCCATCGTTCGACCATGGCGATGCCAAAGGTTACACATTGTCATTCCAACATACCATCACTCCGACATTGATGTGTTGTATTATCGGAGTAGCAGCATTTCCATTTTTTATCAAACGTCCCTGCACTCCTTGTTCAGCTTGTTCTGACCACAGTCTTTGTGTCCCGGTACGGCTCTGGTGCTGAATGCAGGTCGGTAGGTGCTGTTCTGTATGCGTCCACCTCTCGTGCCAACAGAGCACGTGAAGCTCTAATGGGACGAGAGGGGCCGCATACAACTGACCTCCCTGCAGGTGAGAGGGCAGTGGACATGCCAGGTTAATAAGTGCGTAAAAGTTTACATATTACTAAATGTGAACAGTATGGCAGGATATCCTGTATACGGTCCTCTCTCTCTCTCTCTCTCTCTCTCTCTCTCTCTCTCTCAAGATTAGTCCTGTTTTATCGGTGTCAGAATGACGGCATCAAAAAAGTGTCAGAATGGGGGCATGTCGGGGTGGAGGGTTGTCAGAATGGTGGTATGTTGGAGTAGGGGGTCTGCTGGAGTGACTTTATGTCGGAATAGGGGTTGCCTCCTACTTTTGGTCGGCATCTCATCAGTGAAAACTTGGTGTGTACAGTACGGCTGCTACGACTCCTGTGTGCCGGCATGGGCATCACATCAGCTTTTATACGGGTCGCGTGACCCTGGTAGCTCGAGGCATTCACGTGACCCGTAGGAACGACGCAATTGGCCCGTCCGGGACCTATGCGTGGGCCGCAGGAATGTGGGATGTGAGAAAATGCAAAAACTTGGACATGTACTTGACCCGACCTTCCCCCGTAAGTGTGAGATACGTGCTTGCTACGAGCTGCCACCCGTAGGCCACTCGCAGGAAAAAATGTGCATGAACATTTCCTCCCTACGGGCTCAGCGGGCGTCTACGAGCTTGGAATCTTGTACGGGCCACTTGTGAGCCCCGTACGAACTTGGCCAAATATCACCCGTGAACTGCCCGTGAGGACCCGTGCAGTCTATTGTGACTAAGGCTTTAAATGGGAGCTAAATCAGATCAAAGCCAGAAGTGAAGCAGGACTGAAACAGGACTAAACCAGGGCTAGACCAAGACTGGACCTGGACTTAACCAGGACTAAACCTGGAATAAAACTATTACTATGGGACAGTTAGTTCTCAACCTGTGGAGGTGAAAATGAGGGTAGATCAGATGACGTCTTGAATCCGGGAGAATAAAGATGACTTAAATTACTATGACACGGTTTGAAGAACAGGTCACCTTTAAACAAACAAATCGTGATTACATAATTCACAGCCACTAAGTACAAACCAAGTCCTGATCTTTCGAAATGACAAAATGAAAGAAGCTCCCATGATCTCATCCTCGACATTATTAAGGCGAGTTATCTGAACGGAGCACACTGGTGTTTTAAAAGAAAGTGAAATGTGTTTTTTACCGCAGCAGTTTGATCACAGTGTTTTTTTAAGCAGGAACAGAGCAAAGACGGAACAAAAGACCATAAGAAAACAAGGAACAAAAGATGAAACCAATTCAAGGTCAAACCGGAAAAATGAGGAGTCTGTGAGGGGGAGAGAGAGGAAAGAGAAAGAAGAGAGAGAAAGAGGTGAAGGAGGTCACTGTGAGGAGTCTGTGAGGAGAGAGAGAGAAAGTGGAGGAAGTTTGAGAGAGAGAGAGCAGGAGTGAAAGAGAGAAGGAGAGAGAGAGAGAGAAGGAGAGAGGGAGAAAGCGGTGAAGAAGGTCACTATGATGAGTCTGTGAGGAGAGAGAGAAAAAAAAGAGAGGAGAGAGGGAGAGAAAGAGGTGAAGGGGGTCACTGCGAGGAGTCTGTGAGGGGGGGAGAGAGAGAAGGGAGAGGAGGTCTAAGAGAGAGAAAGAGGTGAAGGTCACAGTGATGAGGCTGTGAGGGAGGAGAGAGAGAAAGAGAGAAGAGAGGAAGAGAAAGGGGAGGAGGTTTGAGAGAGAACAGGAGTGAAAGAGAGATGGAGAGAGAGAGAAAGAGCGGTGAAGGAGGCTACAGTGAGTCTGTGTGCTGTAAGGGGTAAAAGAGAGAGAGAAAAGAGAGAGAGAAAAAGGAGAGGAAGTTTGAGAGAGAAAGCAGGAGTGAAAGAGAAAGAGAGAGAGGTGACAGAGGCTATGTGTGTGCTGAGAGGGGGTAAAGAGAGAGAGAGAAGAGAGGATGTTAGAGAGAGAGAGAGAGAGAGAGAATGAGAGAGAGAGAGAGAAATGAAGGAGGTCACTATGATGAGTATGTGAGGAGGAGAGAGCGAGCGAGAAAGAGAGGAGAGAGGGAGAGAAAGGAGAGGAGGAAAGGAGAGGTGACAGAGGCTCCAATGAGTCTGTGTGCCTTGAGGAGAGAGAGAGAAGAGGAGGTAAGAGAGAGAGAGTGGGTATGTCAGAGAGAGGGAGAGAGAGAGAAAGAGGTGAAAAGGCTCACGACAATGAGTCTGTGTGTTGAGAGGGGGTAAAGAGAGAGAGAGAAAGAGAAAAGAGAGGATGTTTGAGAGAAAGAGGTGGCTGAGAGAAGGAGACAGAAAGAGGTGAAGGAGGTCGCAATGATGATTCTGTGTGATGTGAGGAAAGAGAGAGAGAGAGAGGACGAGAGATGAGGGGCACAAGGAAGTGAGGGGGAGGGACAGCGAGAAGTAGAGAGATAAAGAGAGAGAGAGAGAGAGAGAGAGAGTATGAAAAAGGTGAAGTACATGTTGTGAGGGGAGAGAGAGAGAGGGGGAGAGAGAGGGAGGAGTGAAAGAGAGAGGGGCAGAGAGAGAGAGAGTTTGACAGAGGTGAAGTAGGACATGGAAACTGTCATGAGCCACGGGTGACAGAGGGGGAGTGGAGGATGAAAAGAAACAGAGAGAGAGAGAGAGAGGAGAGAAGAGAAGGAGAGATAAAATATGAGGTACAGGAGAGAGAAATGGTTGTTGGATAGATAGAAAGAAAAGAGAGAGGAAGGAAGGAGAGATAAAGGGTTGTGAAAGAGAGAGGATGAGAGGAGCATGGTGATTACGGTGGAGTGGAGGGAAAGAGGGATAGAGAAAAAAGAAAGCAAGAGCTTGGGAAATGTAATGAGTGTGTACGCTGTGGGGGAGAGAGAGAGAGAGAGGGGGATGAAAGGGAGTGAGGAGGGGTGGCAGAGAGAAGGAGAGAGTTGAGAGAGGTGAAAAAGGGCTTTTAAAAAGGAGTGTGTATGATGTGAAGGAAGAGGAGAAGGGAGGGGATGGAGGATGAAGAGAGATAGAGAGAATACGAGAAGAGGAGGAAGAGGGGAAGAGAGAAAAGAGTGGTGAGGGAGAGAGAGACTTTGATAGAAGTGAAGTAGGCTGTTTGTTAAAAAAACATAATGAGTTTGTTTGCTGTGAGGAGCGAGGGAGGTAGGTGGCAGAGAGGAGGAGAACAGAGATAGAGAGAGTCAAGAGAGATAGAGGAGAGAGAGAGATAAAGAGGGAGGTGAAAGAGATAGAGGTTTTAGAGGAGGGATGAGAGGAGGGGCTGGGAAAGTATCAGCACTCCACAGGTGAAAAACACTCAGCGTGATGGAGAAAGAGAGAAAGTGGGAGTGGCAGAGGGGCTGAGAGAGAGAGAAAGAAAGAGATAGAGAGAAGGAGGAGAGAAAGAGGAAAGAGAGGAGGGGGTGGAGGAGAAAGAGATGACGAACTTTTATTTAACTCTCTCCTAATGAGGCTCCGTCTGTCAGAGTTATTTTTAGAGCCAGAGTCGACTCTCAGAGAGCTCATCCACAGGAGCGACGTCGGTCATTAAGACACATTAAAGCTGCACTACGTCACTTTTCTGGAGGAAGGTCTTCAGCGTCTGGTGTAAATGTGTGTGTTGGTCAGATACAGATGACATCACAACATTCTACAGGCCAATCAGGTTTAAGAGCAGCTCAAATGAGCTTTGTTCAGATGCAGATTGTGTTGGAATCCAGTGAGTTCTTGGCTCTAGTCACTCAGAGAAATGATCTGAATCCGTGTATCATTCGTTCATTCGTTTTTCAATATAAAACCAAAATTAAGAACACGAAAAAACAACAGTTTTCTTCATTATTTATCTCCAAAACCAAAATGAAAAAAAAAAAAAAAAAACAGATAACGATTTGTTTTTTCAGTTTTCGATTTTGTGTTCAAATGAAGAATGGAAAAATCAGATAACGGCGTTTACATGACTTCTGTGACTGCGACTTTTGCACTGCATACGGACTGAACCAGGACTGATCCAGGTCCGGGATCAGACCGGGACCAGAGTGGACTCAGAGCTTTGACTCCAAGCCTCCACGGGGTCTGAGCTTCAGCTTCGAGCTCTGGCC